AAATTGTTAGGTTTAAAATTTATAACAGCTATAATAAAAATACATTCCATAAAATATATCATGGCTACTTTTACGTATGTTCTAATATATTTCATTGGATTGAAGTTGCATTTATTTCTCTAAGAGAACTAGTCACTACAAAACTAACAACCGTGCTTAAATAGCAATTGTTGGGTCCTGCTTTATTTTTAACTCTTTTAATGTGGAACTAAGGACTGAGAAGTAAGGAGATATACTCATTGTTACTCAGAAGCTTCACTGGTATAGAGACATGCTGAATGTTTGGACTTCCCTTGTGGCTTTCCATCATAATATCCCAAGGTTGCAATAGGAGGTTATTCTGCCAAGTTGTCAAGTTTAGCAGACAAAAGTCAGAATGGGTTCTACTGCCACCAAGGAAACCAGCCCCTCCAACTTCAAACAACATTAAATCCCCTCTTTCATCTGTGTGGAAAGCCATATACTCACTACTTCTGCCCACCAGATAGACAGGACTGATGCCATTTAGATAAGTTCAAATCCAGCAATTCAGCATCAGATCCATAATAAAGTGTGGGATTAATTACCTGGAAAATAAAATTAATATATTGGACCAAGTATTCAAAAATAAGCCTTCATGGTTTGGAATTTCAGAGGCCTTTCTTTTATATGTAATGCACAGAATGTATATGAGTATTCTTGTTTTCTGTGTATAACAAAATTTACAAAACAAATGATTTTTTTTCAATATCATGCTTTCTTGTTAAGATGTCTGCTTCCTTTATTGTCTGTCTTACCGCAATCGCTTTCCCTCTTTCCTTTTTATTTACTTGGATGGAAGCAAAATGAACAGTAGTTTTCCTCACTGCTGCTCGACCCTTGTTATACACTTTAATATTATAATTTTATATGTAATGTGGATATATTTCTCAAATAATGCCAAGAAAGGTTAGAATCTCAGATGTTTTGTTGGTAGCACTTGGAGGATCAAAATGACATGAAGTGGTTTGTGTAGTAAAATGGTTCATTCATCATCTAAATTTGGGTATTAATTGACAGAGCACTTTCCGTAATTCTAGGAGATTTATTTTTTCTTTCATAGAGCCAGATGCATATTATTTTGTATCTTGATAAACCACAGTCAGACAATGTCACATCTGGTTTCTATCTAATACAGAATTTTAAGAGAAAGAGTAAAAAATACCTGAATTTTCTTAAGGCAATTTCTTAGACTTAATTTTATCTGAAGTATCTTTTGTACAAAAAATACTTTATAATAAAATGTAATGATGTGCATATTGTTGGAGGAGATGTTTTTATGAGATTTGACTCTATGCTACTATATTTTATGAAAAACAGACAAAGGGCTTCTTAGACAGATATGACTGCTCACTCAAGCATTCACATGTTAGGTCTGTGATATTTAATGATTATTTTTGATATCCTTATGAAAACTAGTAAGCTGAAGCACCAACTAAACAACTGAACACATCATTTAAAAATTACATTACTTCAGAGCATTACACTTTATTCAAAAGCATTCATCTGACTCTTCCACTTACCTATTATCTTGAAGATTATTCCAAAGGGTAAAAGATTCAGATTTTTCCCCACGATGATCACTACTTACCTTGGAAATGTTATATACACTGGGGCATTCAACTTCATATTTATTCACATTTCAATAATTCCTGTTCCAAAATGCCTTCTTCCTCTCCCATGTAAATAAGCATTCCATTGTCAAGTTTTTTCCTAGCAGATCTATATTAAGAATTTTATAGTATTCAGGTCTCAAATAATAACCTGATTTTTATCTGATTTTAAGGCCTAAGAGCAACCATGGACCAGCAACAATTTTTTTCCCTCTCAAAAAAACCAAAACAAAACAAAACATTGATCAATGTTCCAAGGTCAAATGTCCTACTTCAACCACAGGAAAATAAGATACTTGATTCCATAGTATTCAGAATACAAGGGGAAGTGATTAAGCTATATCAGGGTGTATGTGTGTGAGCTATGCAAAATCCTCCTAGTACTTTACCAATGCAAATATCTAGAAATGTTTAAAAGAATTGAGAAGATTGAGGTCATAGCCAGGTATAAAATGATATAGAGAAAAAAAGTCGGAAAATCTTCTTCTAAAGCATCCTTGGTGCATATTCCCAAAGCAAACTGCATACCTTTAGTAGGATATATATCTATAACAATAAAAGCATAATATGCTAATTAGACCGGACACCTGAATGACCTTCCAGACATCCTTCCGGACAACCTTCCAGATGAAGCTGGGGCTGCGAGGGCTGAGCCCCTTACACAAATTTTGTGCATCAGGCCTCTAGTATGTGTGTAACAATTATTATTATATTACCTTAATTTGATTAATTATAAATGGCATATTTTGAGTGCATTAAGTATTAGAGAATACTGCCACTGGTTGCCTATGTATAGAGTAAAAAGAGCAGTCAACACAGAATTGTTTTACTGTAAGGATATACCAGATGTATAAATAGTCACGGCACAGTGTGTGATTATCTTGATCCATCAGTGCAGCTTCTGTACTGAGGGGCCAAAAGCCAAGTACGTTATGTGGAGCAAATACTGATATTGCTAATTATAAACATCTAGATTTCAGTGTCCTTTAAGTCATACATTTACAGCACTTCACCCTTCAACCCCAACCTTCATGAGAACCTTTTGTCAAATGTGTGTCTATATTCACTGTGGGAGTCTAGTTTGGTGTAACCAATCTTTTATCCATATATATGTGTTTTTTTTTCTAAAATGTATTAAATAGAGCAAAAATAGTCTCCTATAGGACTGAATTGTATGCTTCATTTTCTTACCTAAATTTTTAGCTCAAGTTCACCTTTCATTCTATTCAGTAGGATTTACCTAACTGTTCAGCCAACCCCTCACAGAAAGGAGAATTACATGCTGGGTCTAACTCCATAGGAATTATAAACTCAAGATGAAAGGAGGGTTAGAGTCAGCAGAGACAGAGCTCCTTAAGAACACAGCAAGTAGAGAAGGCAGGATTTTTTTCCCCTCTTGACTTATGGCACTCTTCTTTATACTAGCACATGCTTGAAATTCCTTGGTGGGTTGTTTGTTTGTTTTGTATATGGGAATATATTAAGTACATCTGATACTGAAAAGCTTGATAACTGGCCGCAAAAATGTTTTCCTTTTTTCCCCAAGTCTTCTCCACAGCAAAGTGAATGAGAATCATTTTCCTAACACGGAAGGCAGGGAATGAGGGAGCAAAAGCCTGAAAGGGAATTGGTGATGAAAACAGAGGCAAGACCCTTGCATGATCGCATTCATTTGCTATCCATTCCTTCTAGTTCTCTGACCTACTTTGCTAGTAATGATTGGTTTTTCACATCTGGACATCACCAAACTCTGGTGTGAGGTCCAACCTGCAGAGTTAAGTGTGGGGATCAAAGCAGCTCATCCATTAGAAGCTGAAGTTTGCTCTAGCTTGGCCAACTCTTGTTTCACCAAAGGGGAGGCAGGTTTTAAGGGTCACTAATAAGAGGTGTAGATTTTCACTTTGCTTCACAAAAAGGCAAAGTCATAGACATATTAGATGAAAATATCAGGAGAGTGTCACAGTGCCAGTAACCCCCAAATTACTCTTTACTTGGAAGTCAGTGTATGTTCTCACACTGAAACTTTCTCCAGTTTCTTCAAGTACCTTTAGCAGGTTACCATTGTATTAGCATTGCTATCTCTTGGTATGAATCCAGTCATTCATAACAAGTTCCTTACGTGTACTTCTTTAAACTCTGTAATCTGCATTTGGAAAAAGAGAGGCAGCTCTTCCAGACGGATGGAAGAAACCATGAATCAAGAGGTTTCTGTAATAACATTAACCTGATATTTTGAAACACCAGGGTCACAATTCGCAATCTTTCATGTAACAGTAAAACTAGAGCTGTCCCCCAGTAATGAACTGATATTTCTTTAATCACATATCACACAGACAGTGATTGACTCAAGGGCAGGAACCAGGTCTTGTCAATTGTGTGTCCACGCTAAAAACAATGTTTAACACATGGTAGGTCTTTAATAATTATTGTTAAATGAAACTTAGTTTGTTGACACTCAGCACCAAAAATGACTTTTCAACTTGGATAACTTAGAATACCTTTGCATTCAGAGGTCATACTTTGCCTAGCCAGCAGAATTTTATGAGATGGTAAAGAAATTATACTAAAACTTTCTTCCAACTGAAATTGAATTTACTTCACAAAATCATGATTTTTAATCTGAGCATTTAAAAAGGGTGACCCTAATGGGAGGAAAAAATACCACAGCATACTTGAATATATAGATCCAAAACTCAAGTCAACCGAATGAGACAGGACCCCATGGTGTTTGATGCTGTGACTGAAAAATAATGTATTTTCTTTCTCAGAAAGTAGAAAATCGAATTACCTTTAAGTTTCTTATATTTGAGCCATACTACAAATGAGCTGTGTCCAGGTACAGAAAAACCAACAATATTTTTATTTATAATCTTATTTTTAGCGTTTGAACTACAAATTCTGGTTCTAGAGTTGTTGAAAAGATCATGGGTTTTATAGGTGTTCATATGTAAATTAATCTGTTGTTTGCTTACTTTTTTTTTTCTTTTTTCCTTTTCCACTGATGGTCTTCCTCATAAATACAGAACAGGTCATTACATGAAAAATATAAGGTCTTGCATTATATTTCTCGTTCTCTCTTAAAAATCTATTTCTAATATTGCATTCCCCGTCGGACTACTTCATGAGGGCATGAGGGGGAAAATAAAAGAGGGGGGAAAAAGACAAAAATAGACTGGATCTCACCACTAGAATTCACCATAAAAATCTCAAAGTGTAACAGAATTCTTACAAAATTTCCTAGACCAGTTCCTTAGGGAATTGAGATCTATGAAAAATATGGCAATCAGGGAAGGCAGGGACAAGATATGCGAAAATAGGAAATAAGTGCAGCAAAAACAGGTTCTGAGGAATACACATAGTTTTGTCTGCTTTAGATCACAATAGAATTTTTAATAAATAAATTTCTTTTCTTTTTTGTATTTTTTTTTGTAAAGACACTTTTTTTTGAAACAGTAGATTTAGCCCAGTCATTTGTGTCATTATTAATAAACTGTCCTTTTTTTTTAATTGTTTGTTTTCTGTAGCCGTAAATGTTTTAGATCTGAGTCTCTTGTACATTGTCTTTCGAGTTCATTCGGATCAATAACGGTTCATGCACTGAACTGTGTATTGAATTTATTGTGTTAACTGTTGTTGTGTGGTTGAAGGGAGATTTGTAAGAGTTATAGTGATTTAGATGCTCATGCTCGATAGCAGGCATGGGCAGGTGGCTTTCCATGGGAGTGTCTCCTGTAATCTCATCATCCACATTAATGATTTCAACAGTCCTTGTGGGGGCGTGATGGTTTTGCCTATGGTGCTGCTTCCTCATCTTGTAGAAAATGACCAGCATCACAGCAGCCATGAGTGTGATGGCCACAAAACAGCCAATGATGATTTTGGTAGTCTTCATGACCTCATCAATTCCTGGGATCCCACTGTTTAGATCAGTCACTGGGATGGTGAATGCTTTTTCTGTTGACCTTGTGCTCTGTGGCATGAGAGAGGTGGTCACATTGGTGGTTTCCCAGTCAATCGCTGGAGTGGGACCTACATTGTTGTCTGTGGTCCGTGCCTCATCCTGAGAAGGTTCCATAGTCTCTACTGTGACAGTTGAAAAGTAAGTAAAAGGAGTGGTGGTTGCTGCAGTAACATTCAGGGTGGCTGAAGCAGTGGTATTTCCAACAGAATTGCTCACCATACATGTGTACATGCCTGTATCTTGCACAGTTACATTCGTGAAATTTAACGTGCCATCGCTGAGCACAGCTATCCTCACTTTGTACGCCCCGTGTGTCATGACTGTTCCATTTGGAGTGATCCAAGATACGGAGGTCAGGGATGTGGAGGCCCGGCATTTTAGCTCTGCTGCCATGCCTTCAGTGACATTGAGGTCTGCTGGGGGCTCCACAATCACAGGAGCATAACATGTGAAATAATTCTGGTCGAGCTCCCCAATGTACCTCCCTTTCAGATTGGGGGGAGTGTTACATCGGGCACAGCAAGCTGTGTTGGAGGGGGCCATGTCTTTTATCCACCAGCTGAGCCACAGTATGTCACAGTTACAATTCCAAGGGTTGTGATGCAAGTGAATCCGCTCTAGATGATGCAAGGGTGTGAAGAGGTCATGAGGCAGTAACGTTAGATTGTTGTGCGCCAGGTTGATTTCCACCAGTGACTGAAGGTTATCAAAGGCATTCCGTTCAATCACTTGAATCTGGGACTGTATCATCCACAGTTTTTGAAGGTGCATCAACCCCTGGAAAGAGCCCGGCCTGATAGCAGACAAATGATTCCCAGAAAGGTCTAGCTCATCTAGTTTTATGAGCGGTGTGAGGTTAGGGATTTCCCGGAGGTTGCACATGGCCAGGTTCAAATACCTCAAGTTGGACAGACCTTCAAAGGCACCTTCTGAGATGTATGAAAGCCTTTTCAATTCGCCTAGGTCTAGCCGGCGCAGAGAAGGGATTCTGTTAAAAGCATAAGAAGGGATGCTCTCGATGGGGTTGTTTCGCAACCAGAGTTCCTTCAGTTTAGACAAATATACAAAAGCTCCATTTGGGATGGTAGTGAGACGATTGTCAAAGAGTTCCAGAGTGTTGAGGTTCGCCAGACCATTGAAGGCCCCGATTTCAATGGTTCTAATGTGATTCCTACTCAACTGGAGGATTTCCAGGTGCCTCAAGTGCTTGAAGCTGTTCACTTTCGCGTGTTGGTGGAAATGCCATCCGGAACCTCGCGTAGGTTTTTCCGAACACAAATCACCTTGCTGAACTGGTTGCTGCAGGAGCAGACGGAAGGGCACGTTTGAGCCCGCACCAGACCAGCCACCACGAGAAGTTGAAGAGCCAGCAGCACCACAAGCAGGGGGTCAAATAAGGCCCTGTTAAACCTAGGACCTATCATTATCTGCTGTGGATGTAAGGTCATCTTGTTCAACATTCATAATTTATCTGGTGTTGGTCCTTCTGGAGCTCAAATGGTCTGCAATACAATAAGAACAAAAAAAGAGAGTTAGATCTGTCTTCCAACATGTCTTTCTGGAACAATGCCAGTGATACAGCGTATCAGCCATCATTTCTCAGACTAGGCAAACAACAAATTTAATATCCTTTATTGAGTAATGAGTCTCATATTTTTAGAAAAATGTTTCTGCACTTCAAATTAGCAGCCATCTACAGTCCCTATTCCATCAGCTATGCAATCACAGAGAAATGGAAGAATGAAACGGAGGAACTTAATAGAGTGATAACCAATCAGTGTGAGCCGAATGCATGAGGACATATGAGGTGCACTCCACCATTCAATTCACTGATCAAATTGGAAAAGTCCAGAAAATAGAATTTGGGAGCTATACCCACAAATCTAATAGATCCCTTGCAAATTAGTAATAGCTGACATTTTATTTGGGGTTACTCTATGTGCCAGGCACCCCGGGCTACTATACACCTCACAAACAATCCTATCCAGGAATGGCTACATACTTTGCAGAGCTCAATATAAAATGAAAATGTGGGATGCCTTGTTAATAATTATTAAGCATTTCAAATCCATAACAACAGAGCATGAAGCTAAGTGTAGACCCTTCTGAGAATGGGGGCCTTTGCAATTACACAGTTTGCCTGCCTGATCCTTTCCAAACCTGCATTCCTCTGATGTAGGAACTGTGATATTCTCCATTTTCAGGATGAGTAAGTTTATCATGGAAATAACATGAATGTATTCACATAGTAATTACAGAGCCAAGGCTAAGATGTTCCTCCGATCGGTCCAGAAGCATATGATTTCAAATACTCCACAAAAAAGGTTGCCGTGAGAATGAATATATATATTCATTTCTTTAAAATACTTTTACTTTGGGTGACCTCCACTGTAAACACTGGCAACTTACCTTATGGACTCTGTGAAAATCCATTGAAATAGTGATGTGCACACCTGTACACGAACTTCTAGAGATTCTCATATACAAAAACTCATAACATGGCCTACTGCTATCTATAGGTAGATGTACCACAAATTAAATCATTTTCCATAAAGCCTAATGTCTGTTTATAGAAAAGATTTTAGTATAACAGAACTACTACATGTCTTTTATCCCTACTCTTTTAAGTAGATTTTCAAAGAAATAAAATAACTCACTTTCTGCGGTTCTTCCAGCACAAGGAGGCATTCTCAAGGAACCTATGTTACCCGGTACATGGCCCACTCCACTGGCATACCAGGCATTGGGCACCTGTGTAATGACTTCTCCCAAATCTCTTATCTCAATAAACAGTGACCATTCTATGAATTTCTTTGACTGAAAAAAAAAATGGGGGGAGGAGGAAGGTACCAGGAACTGACCATATTCTTATCTAAAAAGGCACTCATTTAGTATTTATGTTGTGTTGACTTGGGGAAGTTAAATTTTATCCTTTCCATGGTTCAGTCTCCTCACTTGCAAAATGCAAATGTTCAATTCCCCTTATTGTTGTGAGGACAAAATTAGTTAATGTAGATAAAGGGTTTAGAACAATGCCTCCCACACTGTAAGAACTCAATAAATGTTAGACATTATTGTTATTATTATTACTGTTTTTATTGTTACCCTTAGCCAGGCATTTTACTAACTACTGGGCATATAAAATAGAAGAATATAAACCCTACCCCTGAGCAAATTAAAATTCAAAAGGTGAAATACAGACAAACTGAGGAAGTAAAATAATAAACATTTGCTGTATGTTTTTGAGACCAGGCCGCATTTATACAAAGGCACTGATGGCAGAGCAACTCAATCTGCACTGACAAATTAGGAATTTTCAAAGGGAAGGATTATCTGGTCTCTTTTGTAGAAGAAGTAGAGCATTTCAGGCCGAGAGACCAGCGAAGTCAAGACAAGGACACATGAAAGCTACCAGTCCATCCAGGGAACAGTGACAAGTTCTCTGCAGCAGGAGAATGGAAAAGCCTGGGGAGCAGAATGGGACAGAATCTGGGATGAGATCAGGTCCAGACTGTCAAGAGTCATAACACACTTAGGAATCCCTGTTTCATCCTGCGGGTGACAGGCTATATTTTTAGAGGGGAATTCTATCATCAGCTTTGTTTTTAAGAACAGCTAAAAAGAGCTCATGTTCCAAGTGAGTCTAGGAGAGAAGTCAATGCCAGAGATGGGCCCAGTTTCTTGGCCATCACTTCCCTGCCCACCACTCAAGGGCTTGAGGTGAGGAGGTGCAAAGGGCTGGCTCTTCTGCTGGTGGTTAGGTTCTCAGCGTGAATTAGCATTTGTAAATAGCTGCATTTTCATAGTGCACACAAGATGGAGAAGAGGCCCTCCCCCCACCCCCCAATAATAGGAGATGCCTTACTCAGAAAAGGCAGCTGTTATTAGCAATTCTTAAACATATATCCACATTTACAAAACCACTGAAAGGGACCAGAGTCTCAAGAAGGTGAAGTTTAAAGTCCTAAGTTGCTTTTTGGCTTCAGAGGCTTGTTGACGTCCCCTTCATTATGGCAGCAAAGAAAGTTGACTGATGGGTTCTGAGTTAGCATTTCTTTTCATGGGCTTCCCAGGCAGAACAACGTGGGTCCTTCCATCCTTTCTCTGCGCTCTTGGGGCTCTTGGTTGACTTTTCACGCCATTCAGTACTATGATCATTTGTTCCTGGGGGTCTGTTCCTACCCTAGCCTGTGAACTTGGTGAGGGCAGAGGTCATGTCTGATGGCCTCTTCTTAGCCTGTTGCCAACACAGTACCTGGCTTGCTGTCCGCACTAAATAAAATGACTGCTGAAATTGTGCAAACAGTTAACATCTAATGATGAGTCTTTGCATATGTGTAAGTGATATCTACTAATGTGTCATTCATGTCTGCAAACCAACCTATCTGAACCCCCTATGTCCTTTATTGGGTTCTCACATGACTCTTACATTCAGGCCAATAATATCCATGTGTCCTAATCATTCTAGGGCTAGATATCCCTTTGTCCAGTATCCCCTGAGATGATCATACTAGCCCATCCAAGCCTATTTACCTTGCCTTCTCTCACAAAACACAACAAAGGCTCTTGCTCCACATTTTCCCCTTGCTCCTTCTACCTCCTGACCAACCCCGGTGTTTCCCCTGTGTGGCATGGCAGGGTCTCTTCTCTTGGGAACTGTCGGTAAACAAATAAACAAACTTTTTTTTTTAATGGTCCTTGTCTCCTGATCTGTTTGTTGGCCTCACCAAACCTGAATAATAATAAAATCTACATTTTAGAACAATTAATTGCTATATATCAGAGACCCACTCATTATATTAATCCTTTGATGGCTTTATAAGTATTAATGTAGTTGGTAGATTTCATTCCATGAGTCAGATCCTATGGGGTAAATTTAAAAATGACCTTTAGAAACCCTTTCAGATTTACATTTTAAATAGAATCCTATTTACATTTCCACTAATCATGACAATCAAAGATTTTTCATTTGTGTGACTTGCTGTAGTTTTAGATGTGTTGTTCCCTGTTCCCCAACACACACTTCTTAAGGCAATTGGGAATTTAAAGAAAAGAAAAGAAAAGGAAAGAAAAGAAAAGAAGAGAAGAGAAGAGAAGAGAAGAGAAAAAAAGAGAAAAGAAAAGAGAAAAAGAAAGAAAAGAAAAACATATAAAATCCCTAATACATTAACTGATTGATGTTTTTAGGAGTAGGGACTCTAGGCCCTGCCCCTCCATTTCTATGCCCACCCCCCATCCCATGACTTTCCTTAGAATCTTAGGGTCTCTGGTAACACAGGGTGATAGAACTGGTTGACTGGAAATGGCACAGAAGTGAAGAAGATAAGTCCTTATTCTGAAATTTGCTATATTTTTTTCTCTTTAAAATATGAAACAGCAAAAACAGTTATGTCCAGTGACCAAGAGAGAAGGCTCTGGTGTGAGACTTTCTGATTCCTTAGGCCTGCTTGAAACTCCAGGACCAGGACCTTATATTGAGAAGACTCACCTGTCCATACTTCACTTTCCCCATCTGGGAAAGGTGAACAACGTGTTATGCATTCAAAAGGCTTTTGTTAGGGCTGTCACATAATATATGTAACATTACTGGCTCATAATAAGCAACATATAATAAATATTTAATATATATTAAAAAATAAAATGATGGGAATCAGTTTCTTCTCATATAAGACAGGAGTTACAACAATATTTATCATTTGTGTGGTGTGGATTAACTGGTATGATCAGAAACATGCTATCAATAAAACATGCAAACATGATATTACTATTCATTACAGGGTAGACATGCCTGTCCTCTTTTCATCCCCAGTCTTTCTATTTTTTTTTTTTTTTACTTCTTGCTTACTTCAAGGTCTTTTTTTCCTATTGCAATTAATAAGATTTTCCATAAATCAGTCATAAGTAATGATTCAAAGCTGATTTATAACCTACAGCAAACAATGCTTAGTACAGTCATTGAATCAAATAAACTACTATCAAGAAAACGTTTTCTACTTTAACATCTAAATTATGTTACTTTACATAAAAATCCACATTTCCACATCTCTTTCATATTTTTATCACATCAAAAGGAAATCAGTTTAAAGGTACGCACTGCACTATCCATTACGATGTCATCTGCCAGCATTTATTTACAAATGGATCTGCATGGGTTTTAAATTAAACTATAATACTTTTAGCCTGGTCCCAGAGGAGAGCTTGACTTTGTCAACAGACCTTTCTTTGTTCTCTACTCTGTGCTTCACTGACCAAGACACACAGGAGGAACTGAATGCCGGAGAGTAGCTAATGGGGAGGCCTTACTTAGCACAGCATCATTGCAAGTCAGCATAAATTGTCTAGACATTGGAACTAGTTTGGAAGCAAGGTGGGAGAAAGATACATTTAAACACAACCATCCAACCCCCCTGTCCCAAATAGACACATATTCTCACACTCATTTATAACAACAACAAATCTTCCTAAACACTGAGTACCAAAACCATTTACCACACTCAGCGGG